GGGTTTAGGGTGTAGGGCTTCGGGTTTAGGGTGTAGAGTTCAGGGTGTAGGGTTTAGGGTTCAGGGTGTTTAAGGGTTTAGGGTGTAGGGCTTTGGGTTTAGGGTGTAGGGTTCAGGGTGTAGGGTGCAGTTTAGGGTGTAGGGTTCAGGGTGTTAGGTGTAGGGTGTAGGGTTTAGGGTGTAGGGTTTAGGGTGTAGGGTTCAGGGTGTAGGGTTCAGGGTGTAGGGTTCAGGATTTGTAGGGTTCAGGGTTTGTAGGGTTCAGGGTGTAGGGTTCAGGGTGGAGGGTTCAGGGGGTACGGTGTAGGGTTTCGTGTAGGGTGTAGGGTTTGTGTGTGTGGTGCAGGGTTTAGGGTGCAGGGTTCAGGGTGTAGGGTGTGTTCCTTATTCTGGCTCCTTGTTGAATTTCTTAGAAGGTAGTTCAAAGGGCTTCTTGATCTGATTTCTCCAGAAAGGGTAGGGTCTTGTGCACTACAGATATTTTCTTGTGGCCGGGCTCCAGCGAGCCTTGGCTGGCGCAGTGTTCTGCGGCTCGACCTGAACTGCTCGAGGTGTTCGAAGGCTTTAACTTTAGGGTTGTTTGAATTTTAGGGCACCAGGTTGAGGGTTTAAGGTTCTGAGCTTATTGAAGGCTTGGGGCTTGGTGCGTGTAGGGTTTAGAGGAGCCTTGAGAGGCAGACTGGCGTTGTTCTTCCAGGACCTCGAGCTCCATGGCTAGGCTAGGGCAATCAAAACGAAATTCGCGTTGTTCGAAGAAACCACCGGTTAAAAGCTGGATCAACCTGAACTGTTACTCCAAAGGCACACCTAGGTTTAGGGGCCTGGTCGGCAGGATAGGGGAGAGCCACAGGATCCTGACCTTTCTTATCTTCTGCTGTTCTAGGACGGACTTCTTTGACTCTCGTCATCGTCGCCATCGGATGTAATGCTGCGGTTGTACGGTTGACATCAATCTGCAGAAGCTGCGGTGATACGGTTCCCGTCAACCTGCTGCTTGTGATGTTGAGGAAGATCATGGGAATGGTCTCGGCAATGGCATGATGGTGGTAGCACTGCTCATAGCCAAAATACCAACGATGACAGATACTAATGTTAACTGAACCAAGGATGGTAGTATGCCGAGAATACAGACGGTTGGAATGATGATGATGGTGGTGATGGTGATGGTGATGATGCTGCTGCTGAAGCCCCTTGGCCCGAATCTGAGGATTGACTAGGTTTTCTTCTTCTGCCTCATGAGCCATGCCTCCAGGCCCTCCAAACGTGCGCGAGTTTCGGACAAAGACCGCACACCCCAGGATGCACAACGTGTTGGGCCTGAGCCTGCTGCTGACCTGCGTGCTAGGTTTCCTGGCAGGAGTCCTCCTGTTCCCAGGGGACCCAAGGGCGACGGGCCCTTTGGACCTCCACCGGCTGTTCCAGTACGAGAACCCCCCGTGGAGCCAGCCAATCCGCCGCGAGCAGAAGCAGCCGGCGGCAGTGACGACGAGTTCTCTCTGGACTCTGCACTCCTCACCCCTGAGATGGGGAGTCAGGACGGGATTAGTGAAAGTTCCGACTTCGACTTGGTCTTGCAAGATGACGATTTGGACAACGCCAAGGCAAGACTTAGCACGCTCTATCGGAGGGAGCTATCAGTGCAGAACCCAACAGCCACGACTCGCTCCACCGCTGGAAAAATGTCCTGGTTCCAGAGAGACACGGCTTCCTGTACTTGGGAAGAGCTCCAGGCCAAAGCCCCCCGCTATCTCACCAACGAGAGGTACGCAGACTGGGAAAATTGGCGGAATGCATATGCTCACAGCCATCGCAGGGCCGGCGAGCGAAGGGGATAGCGGCTGTCAGGCTCAGGGGCGGCATACGCCAGGCCCAGCAGCAGCTGTATGGCGTGCATGCTCTCTGCGAGCCCAAGCCTTCCAGCGGCCTGGTGCACCACAGCCACGCTCACGTGCCTCCAAAGCAAGCAGTAACAGGGCAGAGAGGCACACGCCGTCTGCTAGATCTGCTAGACCTGTAGGCCCCCTGGCTACCGTCCTTTTGCATTCAGGTGACTTGCTCGCCCACTGGGGCGCTCGCCTTGCAGCTCGGACCATGCAGATGCTTCACGCCTGCAGCTGGCTGCCTCCAGGAGCCTGTTCACACCTGACCCCTAAATGCCCTAAGGTTGTTGGTCCCAGCCCAGGTTCTAGACTTCAACTTAGTCACCATAAGTCCCAGAGATTAGGCCATTCCGGTCCCAAGTCCGGAGGTAGCAGATTGCATAGACCTGCTTTGGGGTTTGTCCTGCTCCAAACTGCTACAGGGGTGAGGGTTTCCTCCACAGCCGTGGTGGAGGAGGGACCTAGTCTCTGGGGGCCCCCAGGACTAGGGAAGCATTACGGCAAAGCGCCAGGTTCAGGTCTAAACTTAGGATCGCGGCTCACATTTGCAGCAAAACGGGCATACCGGAGAGCCCGTAACAGAGCGATGACATCCATTGAAGGCGGCACTTACTACCGTGGCAAGTGGCACACTCGCGAGTCTCTTCGAGCCCTTGCCCTTCCATCGCCAGTCCCACAAAAGCCAGCCACCGCTCCTCAGCGATCCTACAGAAAAACTAGACATCCCATCATACGGAGTTTCAGTTGGAACGCGGGGGGCCTTTCGGCCCCCTCCTTTCAGGAACTGGTTGCTTGGCTTGATCTTGAGGACAGGTTTGACATCATAATCATTCAGGAGACCCACTGGCGGGATAGCACTGACTTCAAGAGTGGCCAGTGGTTTTGTGTGCATTCCTCTGGTTATGCTTCTGAGCTTTCATATGATCGCTATGGTGGGATACTCATCATGCTTAACCAAAAAGCCTTTGAGGTTCCTTCGGTGCAAGAGCTGTGCCCAGGAAGACTTCTTCATGCCAGGGCTGTCCACAAGCTTAGTCACCTGACGATTGACATCATAGGCTTATATCAGCATGTGCACAGAACCCATCTGTCAGCCGAGCAAAATCGAAGCTACAGGAACCAACTTTGGGATACCTTAGACAAAACCCTCACGCATTTCCCGACCCGCAACCCTCTCTTTTTGGGAGGAGACTTCAATGCCGTGCTGACAGCACAACGCCCGCACGTGGGCGCCACATGCCAGCCGCAAGGGTCAGGCCAGGACAGGGATAAGCGTCTCCAGAGGCTGCTTGTTGACCATGCTTTGTGTGCTCTCAATACTTGGCACGCCCGGCCCGGCTATACGTACGAATCAGCCCAAAGCAGAACCCGCATTGATTATATCATCACTCGCCTCTCCGAGGCGAGAGGCTCTGCTAAGCAAGCTGTTCCGAATTATGCATTCCCGGTCAAGGCATGGACAACAGCAGGTCACTGGCCAATTGAAGCCCAGGTACAAGTAGTCCCGTTTCAAAGACGAGCCCTCCCGAGCACACCCGCCACTGCACTTAGGTATGATAAGATAGCCCTCCTGCAGGCTGTTCATTCCCATAGTGATAAGGCCCAAGCCCTCCAACATACAGTGCATCAGGCTCTTGCCACAATCGATGCCACCGAGCTTCATCAGGTTCGAGACTCCATCAGTCGTGCTCTGCTTGATGCTGCGGAACAGCATTTCCCACCCAGCAGGCCAGCTGACAATCGCCTTAGTGCAGCAGGTGGCTTTCGCGCCTCTGCCAGACACACTTGGCAGCTCTACCGGGAGCTGAAGGCAGCACATACTGTCACGCCGCACTCTGTCTTCCGACAGTGGCAGGCTGCTGCAGCCTTCGCGAAGGCATCCAAGGCGCTGCGAGTTCAAACCCGGCTCCTGAAGAAAACCTCTGTACTTCATAAGCTGGAAGAAGCAGAGCATGCAGCCAACAAAGGCGATCAGAAGGTCCTGCATCAGATTGTCCGCAGCCTTACTCCGAACAAGCGTCAATTCTTGTCGAGACTTCGCGACCCGCAAGGTCGCCTCCTTGATCCCGTGGCCTCCCTGCAGGCAATGTTGCAGTATGCCCGGGACACCTTTTCGGTCCATGCTGATGATCCCGTAGAGCTATGCATGACTCAAGGCTTGGACATTTCCGACCAAGCTGTGCAGCACGAACTGCAGAAGCTAGGAGCGGCCAAGGCAGTGCCATTCAACACAGCACCTGCCTCCATCTGGAAGCACTGCGCAGGAAGCATCGCTGGCCTCCTGGGCCCTGCGCTACGCCTGCACTTCCAGGCGGGTAGCCGAAGCACTCTGAAAGCTGACCTGCATGACGCTTATATCACCCTAATCCCTAAACCCAATAAGCCCGGAACGGACGTTGCCAACCTTCGTCCCATAGGACTTCAGTGCCCCAGTGCGAAAACTGTTGCCCTGACCACCGATCGTCTCTATTTTTTGGATGCATGACCAAACGTCTCCAAATTTTGGATCTCCTTCATGAAGTCGTCTCTATTTTTTGAAGGCCGCATCGTGTGATTGATGCACAAAAACTTGCATGCAACAACGGGAGGATGCAGATGCTTACGACTGTTATTATACATTTGCAATCGGATTAGCACGGTTTCGCGAATACGCCATGCCAACTCCAAGGATCGATCAAACTTGCTATAATGGTGGCCACTTCTGGGAGGTCACATGTACAAACGGCTCGACTGCACGATCACGATCGTCGAAAATATGACTCACATCGTTTTCGACTGCGATAAAAGAAAAAAGGTCTTGTGTTTGTACCTTAAGCCCTGTACCCTAAACCCTACAAACCTACACAGTATAGCTTTTTGAAGGCTTTCTATAGGTCTCTCGTCCCAGAATCCTGACCCAAACTCGACTGCAAACCCTCAAAAGAGTAGCAGTCGTTGCTTTGACGCCTGGGCCACGCAGTTTTGGGGGCTCCAGGAACTGTGGTCC